TAGAATAGAAATAGAATAGAAATAGAATAGAAATAGAATAGAAATAGAATAGAAATAGAATAGAAATAGAATAGTGGAGTTTTGCTCCATTTTGCGACTTTTGTCATCGCAGTTGTTAAGCAATTCACTGCTGTTGTTAAGTTAGTTGCACCGTTGTTAAGCGAATCTGGCTTCTCCATTGTCAGAAAGTCACAAAAGGGGATCATGTGACCCTGGGACATTGCGGCCGTCATAAATATGAACCAGTTTGCTAAGCATCTGAATTTTGATCACGTGACCACAGGGATGCTGCAACGGTCATAAGTGTGATAAACAGCCACAAATTACTTTTTTCAGTGCCGTTGTAACTTTGAACAGTGACTAAATGAACTGTTGTAAGTCGAAGACAACCTGTATAATATTTTAAAATATCAGGTTAAGACCTGATTCTTATTTGAAAGAAAAGTGGGGTAAACAGTATTAACTAAATTGGTTACCTACAGTAGCTGTACAGTGAATCTCATTTAGCAAAACTTTTGTTATAAACTTAAAGGGCCTCCGATTGTTGAAAATTTCAGCCTTCTAGGATTGCGTTTCTTTAAAACATGTATGTAAAACATGTATGACACAAACATGTTTGTTTGTTTTTTACCTGCCAGGCTGGTGACTTTACGAATCACAATGGCACGGGAGGAAAATCGATATATGGCAGTCGCTTTCCAGATGAAAATTTCATTCTTAAACATGTTGGACCCGGTAAGCAGGTTTTTCCGTCCTTCCTTCTGGATGTCACATCATTCCCTAAGCTTGAATACAAGACCCCCAAAATAAAACCCACCAAAGAAGAGGCTTCATGCAGGGGTGGGTTCCGGCTTCTTTTCCTGCTAGTTTGCTCAGGGATGCGCTAGAACCAGTTCGGGGGCGTGGCCAGCTGAGTTACTACCTACTCGGCTGAACCGGTCCGAACCAGTAGGAACCCACCTCTGGCTCCATGCGAAAACTTCTCTCCATGATTGGCTGTTCTCTGCTTTTGTTTAGCGAAGTTAAATCGCCCTCTTGTTTCTTGCAGGTATCCTCTCCATGGCCAATGCCGGCCCCAACACAAACGGATCTCAGTTCTTCATTTGCACAGCCAAAACAGATTGGTAAGCATTAAGGAATGCCTAAAACGTGACTCGGGGTGTTCTTCATGTACTCAATTCGATTGATTGATACTTAGAATACGGCAGTAGTGGGTTCCGGGTGGTACGGCCCGGTACAGCTGTACTGGTAGTAGCCAGGAAGAGCAGCCATCGTATCGGTATAGTGGCTCGTTTGGCCTGCCCACCTGCCCTCATTCCATAGCTGTTTATAACGCAACCGGCTAATTGCGCACATGCGCACAGCCGAGCAGTTGGGTATTGCAGGGCAGTGGCATGCACATGTGTGCATGCCCAACTAGGACCCCTGGCCCGATTATGACGGGGTCCAGAACCCTCCACGGGAATACAGCATCCAGTTTTGGTTGGGCCAATGCCAACAAAGATGTTGAGATTTCGGAAAGAGTTTAGTTTAGTTTAGTTTAGTTTATTGTCACTGCACCTTGTACAACAAAATTAATGTGATCTTCCGTGTACAATGACAGTTCACGTTGTGGTTGTTAAGGAATCGTTTGCAGTCATTAAACACAACATCAGATGGTGGCTGGTTTCCTCATTGACTTTACTTATTGGACACTGGCAGTGAAGATCATAAGTGGTAGTGATGTGGCTGTGGAAAGCTGTGACCATTGTAACTGTGTGCCAGTTGCCAAGTGCCCCAATCATGATCCTGTGACTGTGAGGACAGCCACAACTTCAAGGGCCGGCCATAAGTCTTCTTGTTGAGCACTGTTGTAACTTTGAATGGTTGCTGAACAAGAAGTCACTAAGTTCAGAGAAGATGGAACAAGCTTGCCTTCAAACAATGGAGCGGTTTGACTTCAGACATTGTGGGAGCTTCATCACTGGAAGCTTTCAAGATGAGACTGGACTGCCATTGGTCAGAAATGTTGTGGGGTCTCCTGCACCTGGGGGTTGGATTAGATGACTGACAAGATCCCTTCCAACTCTGTTATTCTGTTAAGAGCAACAGAGATGATTAGAAGCCTAGGAGCTGTAATATATGAAGAACAGTTGTAGGAATTGGTTGTGTCTAGTTTAATGAAAAGAAGGACATGACATGATAGCTGTCTTCCAATATTTGAGTGTTGACTTTTTCATGCATAAAATCTCTTTCGATTGGACCCTACATAAAACCTTAATAAGACCACCACACCACATCCAGTTTTGGTCACCACATTACGAAAAAGATGTTGAGACTTTGGAAAAAAAAATTGCAGGGAAGAGCAACTAAGATGATCAAAGGCCTGGAGGCCAAAACATACGAAGAGCGGTTGCAGGAAATAGGTGTGTCTAGTTTAATGAAAAGAAGGACCAGGTGTGATGTAATAGTGGTCTTCCAATATTTGAGGGGTTGTCACAAAGAAGAGCTACAGGTTTGGGGCGGGGAGGGGAATCTGAGATTTTTGATTTCTTTTTTTTTAATTACTCTTGGTGTTCAGCAAAAGTCTACTGGCCATCAAGTTATCTTTGATTTTGTTTGCTCAACTGGAGTCAAAGACCAACTCAGCTGATCAATGATCCTGTACACTTTTGGGAGCAGGGATTGCCTTGCTGACCAGCCTTTGAGCTCTGTCAACATTTCAACTTTCTGTTGCAAAAGCATTTTTTTTCTGATGATCCTGCCTCTCAGTTAGCCTTCCTACCAAAGTTCAGTGTTTGTCTAATTTTTCCAGGGCTGATCTTAATTATTAAATTAAGATTTTTACTTACTGTATTTTTCGGAGTATAAGACGCACCTTCCTCCCCCCCCCCCAAAAAAAAGAGGGTGAAAATTTGGGTGTGTCTTATACACCAAATGTAGCCCTACCCACATCCACACCCACCAGAGGCCAAAAATGCGAAGCATGGAGGCAGCGATGGTCTATAGCAATCCCTGCAGCCTGGAACAGCTGATTGTGGGTATTCCAACAGCTCAATCCACCCGCCAATCAGCTGTGCTGAAGCAGGCTGAAGTGCTGAAGCTGACCTAGTTGGTCAGAGTTTGCAGCAGGAATCACATTCAGAAAGTACACACAAGTAACTGATTCAGCAGGATTCAAAATAATAATAATATATAATACATTACCAAAAGCAGGTTTTCCAAGGTAGCAGTAAATACAAGGAAAACACAAGCAGATTCACTTTCAGTTCTCAGCTAAGCCAGGTTCCTTCCGGTCTCCTTGTTGCTCACACAGCAAATACTGTTTCAGGGTCCAAATAGCCCTTATTGGCTGACTTAGTTGCTATGCCTCTTCATTGGCTGACCTTGTTAACATGCATTCCAAGTCAGGAAGCTAGCCTGCTGAATCCCATGGATGCTGGTAGGCAGAGGCAGAATTTTTTTTTCTTCTTATTTTCCTCCCAAAAAACTATGGTGTGTCTTATATTCCGGAGCGTCTTATACTCAGAAAAATATGGTCCACTCTTTCTCCCAACTTTTCTGCTTGTCTGCAAACAGTAGCCACGTTGAGAGTTTGAGCATGGCACATCTGGGGCAGACCAAGTTGGTAAAAAGTTATTCTGAAGTGAAAATAGCCTTAGCTGCAGGTAGTCCTCGACTTAACAACAGTTCATTTAGTGACCGAAGTTACAATGGTTTAACTAAAAAAGGGACTTATGACAGTTTTTCATATTTATGACCATTAACAGCATCCCCATGGTCACATGATCAAAATTCACACCCTTGGCAACGGACTCATATTTACGACAGATGCAGTGTCCCGAGGTCATGTGATCCCCTTTTTGTGACCTTCTTGACAAACAAAGTCAATGGGGGAAGCCAGATTCACTTAACAACCGTGTTACTAATTTAACAACCACAGTAATTCACTTAGCCACTGTGGCAAGAAAGGTTGTAACAGGGCAAAACTCACTTAACCAATGTCTCGCTAAGCAACATCAATGTTGGGATGCATTGTGGTGGTAAGTTGAGGGTTATCTGTACTCAATCTTAAAACTCAAAATCTGCATCTGTTCTAGGAAAGTATTGTTGAGCCAAGATAAACCAATAACTTTCTGGTCTGAATGTGATACAGTAGGAAGTTTTGATCAGTCTCCCAAGCTTTCTACTACAAAAAGACAAGAGGTATTCAGCCGGTTCAGACCAGTTTAAGCGAACCGGTAATGGAAATGTTGAGTAGTTCGGAGAACCGGCAAATACCATCTCTGGTTGGCCCCACCCTCCCGCCCCCGTTGTTCCCTGTCCTATATTCTCTCTTTTCCTCAGAATGGATTGCCACACCTCAGCTGAGCTAAACAACAGCTCAGCTCACTAGCGCTGAAACCGAGGGCGGTCTTTGACACGCACGAAGTGTGAACGTGTGCGCAAAGCACACTCTCATAGAACTGGTATGAAAAGATTTGGAACCCCACCACTGGAAAAAGACCAACTCCCGAAGAATAATTCAGTTGATATTGATAACTATGGTCATTAAACTAATTTTCATTCTTCAAAAGCAATACACCAGTACAGATCTGGCTAATGGGATTTCTGAATGTACCCAACTGCAACTTTTGGAGTTTGAATGTTGGATTAAAAATGAATAAAGCTGCTTGGGAGATAATAGGAGAGAGGAATATTTTTCCGAGGATTTGCCAGCCTGTATCCCTGACAAAGACATGAATTTGCTTGCATCACATTGAATTTAAAACTTCCTTAAGGATAGCCTCTGTAAATCTGTGGTGCTGTAAATTACCAATGAGTCTTTGCTAGAATTATACTTTTTAAATTTCGTTTCCAATTAGTAACTACCTTCTTACTTTGAAGAGGCCTTTGTTTGCAATGTTGTTCCAAACCATGTTATATCATTGTTTGCTGGGTGGTTTCAAATTAAGAATAGCTAATTCTGGCATGCCGCCAACTTTCCTAACCCAGTTCAACTTTTATCATGGCGAATAGTTGTTTTTTTAAAAAAACACCCAAGAAGGGACATTAGAAAGGTTTCTTTTAGGTGGATCTTCCTAAAATGTCCATTTTTAATATGTTGTCACAGAAGTAGCTTCACAACAGTACTTTATACATCAACTTTAACTAAAACATAGTTAAAACATTCTAGTGAAGAGGGGATGTGGTGGCTCAGTGGCTAAGACGCTGAGCTTGCCGATCAGAAAGGTCAGCAGTTCGGCAGTTTGAATCCCTAGCGCCGTGTAACAGAGTGAGTTCCCGTTACTTGTCCCAGTTTTTGCCAACCTAGCAATTCGAAAGCACGTAAAAATGCAAGTAGAAAAATAGGAACCAGCTTTGATGGGAAGGTAATAGCATTCCGTGCACCTTTGGCGTTTAGTTATGCTGGCCCCATGACCACGGAGACATCTTCAGACAGCGCTGGCTCTTTGGCTTTGAAATATAGATGGGCACCGCCCCCTAGAGTCGGAAACAACTAGCACAGATGTGCAAGGGGAATCTTTACCTTTACCTTATTCTAGTGAAAAAAAGAATTAGAGGGTGACATGATAGCAGTGTTCCAATGTCTAAGAGGTTGCCCCAAGGAAGAGGGGATCAACCTACAGTGGGACCTCAGGTGCCGACCGTAATCCGTTCTAGGACTTCGGTTGGTACCCGATTTGGTTGTGACCAGAAGCAAGAATGACTGTGCATGCGTGCACACACACAAAAAATGGTGAGGAAGGGGAAATCATTGCGGCAGGGGAAATCGCCACGGCTGTGTTTATTCAGCACCTGAGAATGTGTTCGTGACCTGAATGAAACATTTAGTGGATTTTTCAGTCGGCATCTGAATTGTTCGTGGTCTGAGCCATTCGAGCTCTGTTATTCTGATAGTCTGTCATTTGTCTGTTATTTTGTTTGCATTGCAGGCTGGATGGAAAGCATGTTGTGTTTGGCCACGTCAAAGAAGGAATGGACGTTGTGAAAAAAATTGAAAGCTTTGGGTCAAAGAGCGGAAAGACTTCAAAGAAGATAGTCATCACCGACTGTGGCCAGCTGTGATCATTCAACCTGTGACCTCAAGATGTCTTCTCTGAAGAATCAGAGAAGCAGAAAAGAATGTCTCAAAACTATTTACTTAAGAGAGATTTCTCGGTTCATCCCCTTGGACACCGCTGAAGTATATGAAGAAGTCCAGTTGTCATTTGAATCACCTTGAACTCCTAGTTTCAATAACTTGTATCATTTTAATTTTCTACCCACAGTAGCTTAGTAGCAGAAGATGTGAGAACTGTAGCTAGTTGGATTGTATTAAAAGGTTATCCTGCCGTTGGTTAAATTGGTACTTGAATTCTTTCCCCCATTTCGAGTGGAAGTAGGATTGTGTAGGCCATTTAAGTCAAGATGGCTTCATAGTAGCTTCTTCCCCTTTAAACTTCAAACACAAACTCTTAGAAGAATATATTGCCTCTCGGTTAAAACTTTTCAGGTTTCTGTGACTTGAAGACTGAAGAAGCCACCAAGCCGTAAACATGGAATTAATGGATTTCTTACCGTTCATCTGAAATTCCTCCTGTGCCTGGATCATAACAAGAAAAAAAACAATGTTTGTTTGGGCTGCTTAGAATTAGCCTTGCAAGGAATGTGGTGCTCTTAGAATCTGAATTTAGGACTATGGTACCAGAACAACCGGAATATTTTTATTAACTTGCAAAATAATAATAATAATAATAATAATGAACGTTACTTATTTCAGATGCAGCTTTGAATGAGGGAATTCAGTCATCAGGGAAAACTCCTGATGATTGAATTCCATTGTATATCCTCCGTTGTAAATATAGCATGATGGCTGACGTATATACTCAACGGTATATTTCTCCTCTTACAATTCTGTATCAGAACCAGTGTTGGGTTGCATTTTGCTTTATTTAAAAGTAGATTTAAATAGCTGCCACAGCTATTTGAGACTGTAAGTAGACGAACTGGATTATTAATTCAATTTTTTGAACTTTTAAGCTTACCACGCCCAATTGAAACAGAAATTCTAAACCCAGACGGTTCGCTGGTTCATACCGTGAGCCGTGAATTTCACAACGGATTTCCCATCGTCCCTTTTTTTTGGGATGGGGGAGAGCCGAGGTGGCGCAGTGGTTAGAGTGCTGTACTGCAGCCACTTCAGCTGACTGTTATCTGCAGTTTGGCGGTTCAAATCTCAC